TGTGAATGCCTTACAACGCAATTTTATAAGGTATTAAAATTAACGCCTGAAAATATTCTCAGCGAAATAATTTGGTTTTTTATCCGTTTCCAAATGTTTATTATTATCACACACGTGTTTTGTTACGTTTCCAAATGACGTTACTTGCTGCCTCAATTTGGCCTTCTTTTTTTCTCTCTCCTTTGAATCTCTTGAAAAAAAGGAAATATCTTATGATAGCTATGTGGGATTTTATTGGGCATTGCCAGTCAAAATGATGCCATTAGGCGCACTTAGCCAGAATTTTATCGTCGTCTTTTATGCTCGCGGCTCCTGTGAAACGATATAAACGAGGCCTGTGCGCTTGTTGTGCGCGTAAGCAAGCCTTTATTGCATTTCACGTGTGATCTTGGAATAAATTTTCACTCGTGAGGCATCCAAAGTGATCGTTACTCCGGTAAAGTGAAATGAAATTTTTATATCGCTACATTTTTAATTGACATCGGCCATAAATTTTCCTTTTAGTACGTTTTTTGTCATCAAAAACGAGCCTTCGAAAATAATTCCAAATTTATATTTATGCATAAAACTTTGACTATCACCAACTGTAACAGGCATAAAAAGTCACTATGAATCATTAAAACTTGTAAGTAGATGTCGTGACCCGAAGTTTATCTCGTATATTGATTTTCAGGTGAAGCGTTATGTAGTCGGCATATTAATTTACGTATTGCGTATTCCTCGAACTTAGTAGACTGTTTATATAAGGTGACCATTGTCACGGTATATCTACTAAACAGCTGTTTTATTCTGTAAGATTACAAGAATCATAAAGATTGACTACAAAATAGAAATATAAATAAATGTTGCTTCGAGAGAAGATTAATTCATGGTATCCGCTTTATTAATATATGCTCTATTTTTTTATTGACATTTTTTTTATACAATAATATTACAAGTTTTACCTCATTTATAATAGACCTAAATATAACACATGCTAAATTTTTAAATAACTCTTTTAATAGATTATAATGTATTTTTTTTACTTTTACAAATTTTTTTAATTTTAGTTTCTGCAAAATACGTCTGTAGTACTTTATTAATACTTTATTCGTTAGAAAAATGTTATTATCTAATTAATATTATTTTTATTAATGATAATTAATTGTATGTTTTATTTTTTTTACAAAATTCTTGAATTTAAGATAGCGAAGTCATAAATTCAACATGGTTTTAGATGGACACATTGGCTCCATAGCTCAGCTGGTTAGAGCGTCGTGCTAATAACGCGAAGGTCGTGGGTTCGATCCCCTCTGGAGCCAGTTTTTTTATACAAGAAAACATTTGTATTCTAATACGTAGTTCATTATCGATAATAGTAAACAAGAGAAGTTTGTTTTTTGACATATTATACATAAATAAATTACAACAAAACCAAACAAATACATAGAGAAAATTTTAGTTCTTATTGAAATTTTTGTTGATATTATCAAAATGCCGAAAGAAGTGCCTAAAGATTTGCTGAATGAGTCAACACCGGAAGTAGTTTTTAAGAGAAAAAATGGAAAATTGTTCAAAAAGATTGCTAAAGCAACTCATTTTAACCTGAGAGAAGTAGAAGGTAAAGCCCCGGATATATGTGTGCTTATCTGATTCCCCTTGTTATCATCGAAATAATAATAATAATTTACATAATATCAAGCACTCGCCTTATTGCATCGCACAATTGAAGCAGATAGAGGGCCACTGGTCAGGACGGTATTTAGAGATATTTACCATGGTGGACTAGATTTGACGGAAAATAAGCGTCACCTACTAGTAGATCGCGTATTTTCTAATATTGATAAACGGAACGTACTTCGAGTTAGTGCACATAATATCGTTATTCTTCTAGTATATTTTATATCCGATTATAAACGGCGAATGCGAATTGTACGTAACCTAACTATCTATATTTAATTTGATTCTCGTAACTATAGCTGCCAATTGCTGATTGGGTCGCTGGATTGTCAATAATTTTACGAGGTTCTGTAGCGGAAAAAACAGCATTCGCGTTCAAAGTAAGTGCAGAAACACAAATGTGTCTATGAGCGTATTTTGGCAAAGAAACAAATGAAATTTGTAGGTATACGACATGATGCGAACGAGAAAACTAACAAAAGAACAAATATTTCCGATGTTGCGAGGTTGCTTCATCAAATTACAACCAGAGGAGGATCCCGACGAGACAGTAAAAGTAAAATTGCGCGTTGCGAATGTTTTAAAAAAGTTTTCCTACTGCGCGCCCGCCCGTCGCAGCAATCATATTCAGTTACGGGAATTCTCGAAACTGCAGGACATGATAGAATTGCTGGTGAAAGCAATAGACATCGACCGAGACGGCGACGTCTCCCACGAGGAATACCAGCAAGCGGTGCTAGAGAAAAACTTGGCTTTCCTCGAGTGCATGGGTCCCGTGTATCCCTCGAGAGAAGCAGCCCACGCTTTCCTTAGTACCTTCACCGACACTGCAGCCTTCTGAGCAATCGCAAGCCAGGCGTGCTAATGCCGAGATGACGATCGAAATGCTCAAGTGAGCTTCGTGCTTTTATTTTCTTCTGTTTTGCTTGGGGGAATTTCCATTAGATCCGTCCACATTTGGACAAAGACGACGCGACATGCAAATCAAAAAGAACCAATGAGTTGTCAAGTAAAAAATGGGAAATCACCGAGACCGACAATCGATTCCTTTCAACTGCCATTGTCATTATATTGCGGTCTTTAAATCTATATGAAAAAACCGTTTTTTCATTTGCTCTTCAGGGCAAACAGTTCCCTTTCCCAGCAATTAGATTACAAGCGACTCTAAAACTGTTGAACCAGTCGTTTGTTTCCGCAGAAGATCACGGGCGAAGCAATTGATCTCACGGATAAACGGCCATCGCGGTATCTCGTAAAATGCTCAATGGAAAATACAAAAGCCCTTTGAACTCACTCGAATAACTCTTCACGTCAACCCTTGGTCGTTTGGTCGTGGTTGGCGCACGTTCACGACAAGCGAAACACGCGTAACAGGAAACAAAGACGTTTCGCAGTTGTCTACGTATACAAAGGGAATCTGTAGGTCCGATCGTTACGCAACACGCCCATAAGGATCGTCGCTCGTCGCGGCTCCAAAACATAATGAATGTTTGACGAAATGCTTAGGTGTGCGCGGCAGCTACAAAAACAAATTAAAGAAGGCTAAGCTCTTTTCCATCTGTAGCGCGCTATTACAATGTGCGACCGAGGGGAGAGAAGAAGAAATGGCGCGAGCGCGCGGGAGGCGATATTGTGTGTAGGCAACGCAAAAAGGGACTGGCTGATATATTCTTTGTGGGTAGCCGAGCGTGTGCTGAAAGGATCACATGCGGGCCCCCGAAGGAACGCGAGAGGCCGTAGATTGACTGATTAAAGGAGCGCTGCGCCCGCGTGCCTCCCCTCACAAAAGACGCCATGAGAATTGAGGCGAAAAAAATAAGAAGAATTCGAGTTTTATTATTTCGTTAGTGAAGAGCGACGCGGAGTGAGAGAGGGTTAGAGCTCGCGCGCGCGAACGCGTGTCGGAGAGAAGGGCGCCAGCTGAGAAAACACTACAAGTGTACACTTGAACGCCAGCCATCTCCTCCTCCTCGTCCTTCCCTCGCCTGCGCGCGCAATTGATTAGGCGTAAGGACCGACGGCCGAACGATGATTGCAGCCGGCCGAGAGAGCCAAAAAATCCTAAGTCGGCTACCGGTGCAGTGGTGCGCTCATTCGACGCGCGTCACTCGCAGGAATCTCGTAAGCAGATGTGCCGGCGAACGAGTACGCGTACGTCAGAGCGAGCGCAGCGCGGCGCAGAGAAAGCCAACTACTCCCACCGCCCGTAGCGCCAGAAGTTTACGAACAATTCGCCCGGAGAGCCGTGGCGCCGCGTGTGCCCGCTGCCGTTGCCACTGACGCTGCGCTCGCCTATAATTATACGAATTGCCTCGAGATGCCCCGCCACGCGACGTTAGACTGATTTCATTAAAGCTAGTGCTCGCCGTCGCGGAAAGCGCTTACCGGCATGGACTTTGTTTTGTACTGATGAGCTGTTGTCGTTCTACTCATTTTATAGCTGCTTTCTCAAATAACAAAATGAAGTGGATTCTCTTTCCAACAGAACTTTATTCTTGCTGTTTAAGAATATCAAACTAATTTCAACTGGCCTCGTTGTGAATTGTCAATTCTCAACGCACTTTCAATAAAATCTTGCGTTATATTATTACGAATTTAGCAATGCTCTTCCACTGAAATTTCCTTGACTCGATTACGTTTCTGACAATACGTCTTTACAGTAAAAAAGGTAACACCGCGATCTCCTACCAGAGCAGCAGCTTTCAAAAGACTCTAATCCTAGAAAGAAGATGTAAATGAGAAATATAAAATGGGCCTTTCTGCTGGACGATAGGCACATAAATAATAATCAGAGTCGAGGCACTGGTTTTCAACGGGAGGCTATACGTGATAAAACGTAGCCCGATTCGATTTGTGGGCCCCCGCATCAAAGAAGTATCCGCCGCGCGCGTGCCGGCATATCTAAAACGCCAGCCTGGAAAAGGATTACCGCGCGAGCGTATAGCCTTTGTCCAGGCGCTCTGCTACTCCGGCTACTCTTCCGTATTTAAAATCCTTCTTCTAGATTACGATTTCAAAGACGGGAAAAAATGTTTTTTCCTCCTTTTTCTGATTTTTTAGGTTCACGAACGAAAGAAATGCGTCGCCGAGTGAGGAGAGAGTTTTCCTCCGTCAGACAAGATTAAGGCAAATCGGTTTCTTTTACGAGTTGATTCACCTTTGATGGACACAAGTCGGAGGATGTAACGTCTTAATGACGCGACGTCGGAGACTAGCGAGATACGAATCGAAGTCGTTTAAGAGAACAGGCATTCGCTTGAAAGATGCACGCACGATTGTATACGAAAGGCACGCGCTCGACGTAGTTACTCCAGCGCAGGGCTTCTCTATTTTAAGTCCAATTATGAATTAACCCCGTTTTCAGTGGTGTGGAGTGTCGCCAAATGCTCAGCAACGCGTTCAATTTAATTATAGAAACTCCTGCAGCAAGTTCTCGCAATTTGCCCGATAAGCATCGCCAAGCGAAAGACGCTTTCCCATTACAAAATGGCACTCGGCCGCGAGTACATTTCCAACTCCGCGAACGAACTTAACGCACTCGGCAATCGCAATCAGCCCTAATGCACTCCTCCTAATGGCGAGCGGCGGCCAAGCTGATCAAGCGAAGATACTAATCGGCTCTGCCACGCAACTTGCGCAACGCTCAACCTTGCGCAAGTTTCTGTGCGTGCGCTTGCCATACGGACAATCATCCCGGACTAACAGAATTATAATGAATTCCAGTGGGAATAATATACGCAAGTTGCGAACCGCTCGTACGTCTCTCATTACTGGGAACGACAGAAAACTAGCTAGCTTGAATGCAGCACGCACGTGTTCGCACCACATGACACGCTAAAACTTGGACCTCCCCCAAAAGAGCAGCAGTGCGTTAAGGCTTCTGCCGAATCGACACGGATGTTTGTTTCCTGCACCCGACGACATTCTTTTTATCCCGCATTAATGGAATGAACCTGCGTCTGCATTTATTCCGTGTATCGAACAGTCGCGCCACGTGTCCGCAACGCTCCAGCTGTTTGTTTTCTGGGTCGGATTCAATTTTGCCCGAGTCTCTGGCTCCGCTTCCCTACCGCGGAATATAATTGGATGGACGCGCGAAGCCTCGGCTAACGTCTGACATAACGCCGCACTTTTCGATTTGCATTCCTATCTTTCTGCCTCTCTCGCTCGACAATGCCATAATTTATAATCTCGAGAGAGCCGCATTTTTACGAGATAGAGGACCAGAGGCAAAAAAAATTACGTTCAGCCTCGGGGTAAAGAGGTGAGCAGCCTCGCGAGTTATTGGCTCGTTACGCTTCTGAGTTATTCCGAGGTGTTGAATATAGGCTGTCGCTTATTTTTTTCCAAGATTGCTTTTAATTAGATTAGCTCAGGGATGATTAATCGATATTTGCCGAGCATCATTATCTTCTCTTTGGTCGTTGCTAACATTTCTGCGAATAATAGATGGAGCTAGATAATGTTTCTTCGGTTCTTCTCTTGATGAAAGTATTGCCGATCTCGCGTTGTGGACTAGTTATCCGACCGGACCGAACGAATGCTAAAATTTCTTTTACCTTGAGAAGATGATCGATGGCAGACTTTATATTCAACAAATATTAATGTCTCATAATTTTTAACATCCACTCTGTGCCTCTCTTAGATTCACCTTGAAAGTCCATTAAACGAAAGGAGGCCGAAATCTCAAAGCGGCGCGTTTAGCTCTCCGAAAAAGATGATGAACGAACCCACGTTTCTAATGGATCTCTCGAAGATTAGATTCCGTCTCGGGTTCGTTACGCTCACGAGCTTTCAAAACAGGATTAGATGACCGGATCTTCGCTGCAAGTGCACCCTTGGGTGTGTGTAGCATTTTTTCACGCTGACCTGTAATGAGATTATCCACATCCGGTCACTTTTTTCTATCTTTCTCTCGTGGGTGTGAGATATAAAAAGAGAAAAAGAAGCGCGCGGCATATGGCGAAAGGTATCGAATGGTTTGCATTGATGTATCGTTGCCAAGTGTATTCACCGGGGGATGGACACAGAGAAAGATGCGCATAGTTATCCCTCGGGGGATATGGCTTTTCGGCATTATTCTGTGTCTTCCGCGCAACTACACCACACACGGTAGCCGATTTTTTCCGATTCGATTATGTTTCTAGGAGAAGAATTTTCTCGGTCGAATTTTTTTCTTTTTTTTTCTGTCATGCCTGAGAACATCTAAACTAGCACGTTACTCCAGTTTTTTGAGAAAAAATTGAATTAATTAATAAACTTAAAATGAATACAAATCGGGTCTCTATAAAGCGACTATTAATTTCCTCTATTTGTTTTCCCTCCCGAATCTCCGTATTTTGTAAATGAAAAAATCCCGTAGCAATTACGTAAAAACACAAATGAGAAACGATCGTGAGGTTCTCGGAACACTTCTGAAGAGAAGATGGACGCGTGTAGCAATCGCGCGTTAGAAGTAATTTCTCTCTTCGCTTTTACGAAATGCGTAATCCGAAGCTTACGCTAGGGAAAGAGACAAACTATCCGTAGCTATATGGGGTCACAGATATATGCAGATTAACGTTGAAGGCGGAAGAAATTCTGTTCGTGGCATGCTTGTTAATGCACTTATCAAATATTTTAATGATAAATAAGACAAATGCCCTTCTTTTTTTTCTACCTTCATGCGTCATTTTATATTTCCCCCCCCCCCCCCCCCCCCCCTCTCGCGTATACGATGAGAGGATTTTTCTCTTCGTTAATCCGTTCAAATGAAATTTAAATTATAAGCGCTTTTCTACGTTTTCGCCACCAGCAACCGTACGAGTTGGCAGAAAAAAAAATAATGAAAGAGGGACGATT